GGAATATTGAGATTCTGTGTGAACTTTAATAGAAATATGTTATTAAAAGTTTGGTTAGCCTCAAATTAATATTATTCTGTTACTCCAAAACCCGTGGCCTGTTAAGCTTATTTAGTATTATTTGCCAGGCTGTGATTTATGGCTAGTGAAGACAAAGATTCACCTTCAGAATCTTACATCACTGTCTGCTAGATTCTAAGATTCAAATCTGAAGAACTACTTCTCCAATAACAATAAATAAAAATGTTTGATACAGCTAACCCACAGCAAAGTACAACTTTAAAATAAAATTCAAGAGAAAATAGATAATTTCACAAAATTAAATCTAATACTTAATTCCATTCCAGATGGATTAAAACCTATCAGGAATTTTTGGTGAAAGAATAATTTGCTTCAACTATGGACATCTTAAGCTTATTTTTTAAAGGGGTGAGTCATCGTTTGCCTTGACTTGGGCGTGGTGCTCACTGTTGAATAAACTGTTCAATTAAACCAACATGTTTAAGTTAGGCAAATGGATAGTCAATCAGAAAAAAGAGAGAGAGAGTCCCTAAACCTCCAGGATCCTTATGATAGAGTTTTCAGGAATGTGAAATTCATGATTCAAGTTTGTGGGTAATGTTCTGGAAACCCCAGAGAGCCATCCAGTAGCAGGCCTGAGCTCCATGGAGTGACAGGCACTATAACAGAACTGTTGAAGGCCTTTCCCGCCTCCGTAAAGGTTTCCCTAAAGGAGTGTTTGTGGATACATTTGATACCATGTGGCTTTGTCCTTACCAGAAAGGCCCAAGGAAACCGATGGATTTCAGCAGTTCACACCTATCAGGCTGCACACCTCCACTGGTCAGAGAAACCTCTCAGCCTCACCGCAAGGCTGCGGAGCAGCAATGAATGCGAGCTCAAAGGGAAACGTGAGAAGGAAAAGACGAAGCCCGGGGCTGAGAGCCCTCGCTTTGTTTTCTGGGGTTGAATCTGGCGGGTTTTAATTCTGCCTGAACTGTTCTGCCAACTCCCTCACAAGAGTGTCTGTCCTGAAGCACCCGACCGAAGCAGAAGCCTAATGAAGTGTGCGCCGGTGGGTGAGGGACTTGGGAAGCCGGGTTGCAGGAAGGGGAGAAGAGGGAAG